GAGGGAGGGAGGGAGGGAGGGAGGGAGAGAGAGAGAGAGAGAGAGAGAGAGAGAGAGAGAGAGAGAGAGAGGAAGAGAGGGAGGGATGGAGGGAGGGAGGGAAGGAGGGAGGGAGGGAGGGAGGAAGGAAGAAAATGACAGAAAATATGCTTTCTTAAGTTTTAAGGGCACAGTGTGCTGTTCTCGTTCACCACTGCGTAGCAGATCCTTCCAGAACTTTCTCACTGGAACATTTGCAGTTACATCTACTCTAAGCATACACTTCCTACATCCTGCCCTGGCCACCACTCCTTGTCTTCTATAGAAAGACTTTGGCGTGGTTAAGAGACCTTATGAGTAGAAACTTGTGACATTTGTCCCATCATATTTCTTTATATTTAAACAAATAGTATCAATTCTGTGCTTTGTCTTTTTTAAAAAAGAATTTAGTGTGTGTGTGTGTGTGTGTGTGCGCTTTGACTGCATGTTCATCTGCACAACAGAAGAGGGCATTGGATCCCATTATACTGTGAACTGCTATGTGGGTACTGGGAATTGAACTCAGGACCCCTAGAAGAACATCCAGTGCTCTTAACCACTCAGCCATCTCTCCACCCCCTGTGCTTTGTCTTAATTAAGCACTGTCATTGATTCAGTTTGTGTTATACAATGAGCCTAGTTTGGCACACTCCATTTTGACATTGTACTGGCTGGTTTTGTGTCAACTTGACACAGGCTAGAATCATCAAAGAGGAAGGAGCCTCAGCTGAGGAAATATCTCCAGGATATCCAGCTGTAAGGCATTTTCTCAGTTAGTGTTCAATGGAGAAGGGCCCTTTGGCTGGTGGTCTGGGTTTTATAAGAAAGCAGGCTGAACAAGCCAGGAGAAACAGCCTAGTAAGCAGCACCCCTCCATGGCCTCTGCATCAGTTCTTGCCTCCAGGATCCTGCCCTGTTGAGTTCCTGTCCTGACTTCCTTCAATTATGAACAGCAATGTGAAAATGTAAGCTGAATAAACCCTTTTCTCCCCAACTTGCTTTTTGGTTATGGTGTTTCATTGCAACAATAGAAACCCTAACTAAGACAGACATCTAATTGAATATTATGATAAAAATAATGGTACCCTAAACTACGTACTTTGATACTATTTATATGCATCTTTTAAAGCTGTAATTATCTTGTAGAGTTAAATAAAATAAATTCTTGTAGAGTTAAATAAAATAAATTCTTGTAGAGTTAAATAAAATAATTTTTTGTGTTTGCTTCTGGAGATATATTAAGGGGCCTTGGATATAGAGGGAATTAGATTATAGAATCACTTTTCATCTTGTGATTCAATTTTGTATTTACTGCTTTTATTTTTATATGTAAAAATGATTCTTTTAGTAAACTGAAACAATTCTTGTGAGGTAACATTTGACCATAGTTAAGACTTTCCCCCAGTGTTTGAGAGATATAACGTGCTTGGGGGCAAACTTACTCCTCCTCATTCATGATGGGTAAATTGAAAGATGAAGCCTTATCATACAAGCCTGAGAGATGCTCTCAGAGAGGAGCTGGAGGAGGTTGGCCTGACAGCACATGACTTCTCAGTTTCCCACTGACGGATTGTCTTCGTCTCTTTGCTTCCAGAGGAGATCTGCACCCTTGTCATTGCTGAGAGCTTCCCTGAAGATGCAGGCATCTTTACCTGCTCAGCCACAAATGATTATGGATCGGTGACCAGCACTGCACAGCTTGTTATAACCTCTGGTATGTGAGAATCAAAAGCACCTGGGCCCTTCTCCATGTTTTGTTGTTGTTGTTGTTGTTTGTTTGTTTGTTTGTTTTTGAGTAGCTCCCCAAAGCAGGCATCAACTGTCCCAGGAACAGGACCTAACCCTTAGGAATGTTCATGACCACTCCAAGAGTTAGCCTAACAATCTGGTGTCTCATCTGTAAACAAAAGGCTTTGGGGGAGGCAGAGAGCACCGGAGGTGGAGGTGACAAGGTAACTAGTACTCACTAGCTCATGGGGCCAATTAAAAAAAAAATCATGCAGTCATGGTCTCAGAAACAATGGAGTGCGTAATCTTCATGCTAAGCTAGGATCCCTCACCTCAGAATGCCACCTCTAAGTCAGAGGTGTCGTCATAGTCCACAGAAGTGCAGAGGACCTGCAGAAGCCTGTCTGAACGTGTCACTACGTAAACCAGGATTTTAACTTCTGAGGGAGGAATGCAAGCAAGTGGAATGTAAAGAAATGGTGATGATCTTAGAAAGCAAATTTCATCACAGTATTATATTAACGTGAGTAATGAACAACTCTGATGTGAAAGAAAAAAGAACGGAACTTAATCCAGTGTTCGAAAACACAGGGACATCCAGACTCAAAAACAAATTCACCAGGGGAGACAAGAAGAAGAAATAAATGGATCTGTGCTTTTATTTGTGTTTTTCGGTGACAGTTTTCTGCTCATCTTTCAAGTGCCTCTTATAGAAAATTTTAAACTGAGCCCTTTGACCAAGCACAGTAAAACACACAGTAGGTATCAGGGAGTGGGCAGCTCTTCCATTGCCTTGATTTCTAGAACAGCAAGAGCTTGGGGGCTAGGTGGCAGCAGAGGCCCAACTAAAACAAGTTTAGGGTTTATGAAGTCCTGTCATTAAGATAAGTAGGGAAGGGTTCACCTTACTAGGAAATGGTGGACATCAATGATTGCTGTAAGCACCAGCTATAGTGCAGTCACTGGAGTTAAATACCAGGAGGTATCCCAGCATTTTAATTTTCATTTGGCTTGAAAAGTATCCCATCAAATGACCATAGTGGTCCCCAAACAATGAGGACAAAAACTAGACTCTGTCAGTTTGAGAGGTACAACCTGAAATTGTAATATTTTTTTTCACATCCATCTCCTATATGGCAAACACTATCAATAAATTGTTTGATTTTCTACCTACCTCAATAAGCATTTCTTGATGCACTAGACGGTCTGCTGGGCTCTCAGAAAAATGATTCAGAAAGGGTATGACTTCAAGATTCATTTCCTTTGTAGAGAGTAATCTTTTAAAATCTATTTTCAACTAAGTTATAATTGAGACAACATAATTTCCTATCTGACATGAAAATTTTCTCAATACTCAGAAGAGTTTCAAGAATTTTGCTTAGATTCAGAACTTTTCTCCCCATAGCTTCAGAAGGCAAGGCTGCATGAGCCTTTTCAGACCTTGAGTGCTTTCAATGAGAATGGATAGGATAGATGTCTGACAGGATTCTTAACCTGGGGGTGAGAGGGTAAAGTATTTAGGTTGACACTGTTTGCAATGTCATGTTTGATGATACTGTATCTTAAGCTCCTAACACACTTTGTTAAAGAATCAGTAGGGAGTCTTTCTACAGATAAACTCAATCTGGAAAGGAGGCAAGTAGTAGCCACTCAAAACAAGGTCATGAGGCTGGCAATACTCTCACATCCCATGACAGCAGTAGAATATTCCTTCCCTAATGACATGCAAGGAACTCCCACTAGGTCTATGTCTTACTTAGGGTTTCCATCACTGTGAAGAGACACCATTACCAAGGCAACTCTTATAAAGGACTACGTTTAATTGGGGCTGCCTTACTGGTTTTGAGGTTCAGTCTATTATCGTCATGGTGGGAAGCATGGCAGCATCCAGTCAGGCATGGCTCTAGAGGAGCTGAAAGTTCTACATCTTGCACTGAAGGCAAACAAGAGGAGACTGACTTCCAAGCAGCTAGGAGGAAGGTCTGAAATCCCACCCCCAACACACTTCCTCCAACAAGGCCACACCTACTGTAACAAGGTTACACCTCCTAATTGTGCCATTCCCTAGACCAAGCATGTTCAAACTGCCACAGTCTGTGCGTATGAAAAGCATCTGTTGAATGGGTAGCAACTTATTTTTTTTCCTCTGTCCCTCCCTTCCTTAGCCAACACTGAGAACTGTAGTTATGACTCAACGGGAGAACCCAACAGTGATCACTTCCAACACTTTCCACCACCCCCTCCGATCCTGGAGACAGGCTCCTATGAGCTGGGATCCCAGAAACCATCTGAAATCCAGCAGGTGAACAACCCCAACTTAGGATTTACCATGGCAGCCCTTCAAATGCAATTCAACTCTGCAGAGAAGGAGGCCAATGGAGTCCATCCCAGCCATGGAGTCAATGGGCTGATTAATGGCAAAGCTTATGGAAATAAATCTCCTCCAACAGCAGCTGCCCTGCTTTCGCCCACTAAAGAACCACCGCCTCTCCTTGCCAAACCCAAACTGTGAGTATTTCTGCATGGCTTTATAATACTTTCCATATCCCTGTGCAATTTTCTCTCTGGTTAGAAGAACGCTTTCTCCTGGACTGGACAGTGTGGTACAGCACCCCAACTGCAGGCAAGTTGTCCTTAGCTGAGGTGACCTGGCTGCCAAGTAACGTTATTCAAAAACACAAAGAATATTTAAAATAAAGAAGGTAAATGGCCCTCTGCTAGAATCTGTACTGGTCATGGCTTTAAAAGTGTCTAAGAGGGGCACTGCCTTCCTGTTTGTGGCAGGGTGTAACTGCTCTCCAGGGAGGATGGAGAAGGGAACTCCTTGGAGTCTTCTATTAAACCAAGGGAAAACTTTTCAACTGGTGGAATCAAAAAGAAGCACAGATGTGAGCAGAAGGGGGAAAGTAGAAATGGGGAGTGGGAACCCAGTGGCTAACCCTGGCCAGCAGATAGAAAGCAGAGACAGGCTTGTCAGGTGGATGAGTGACCATCACAGCTCAGCCTCCTTGTCTGTGGAAGTCCGTGGAACAGCACGTTTCCACCATTCATGTTTGATTTCTATTATTCTCTCAGGGTAATAAGTCTTGCATGAGCTGTTTCCATTGACACTATGTGGCAAGCATTGTCACGAATGCAGCCATTGCGAAGTGAGAGAGAGAGAGACAGGGTTAGAATTCAAAGTCTCTCTGTCATAGCCAAACAGTTCATAATTGTTCCCTAAGGTGGGTCGGTGGAAATGTATACATTCCCTACTGGATCACATTTCCTTGAGATGAAACTGCTCCATCCAAAAAAACCTCCAAATTCCCTGCGATGCCTGATGGGTTTGACTTGGAATAGAAAGGCTTCCTCACACCTGAGTTCTTTGCTTCCTTAGTAGTAAATACTTAATGTTCTTCAGTCTGTGATCCGCTGGGTCTTTTTAGCAATGTTAGAGTTGCTTAGAAGCTTGAACTGGAATGACAACCTTACATTTACACATCACTGTTTTGTTTGCCAAGGGATTTCATGGACTGCTGCCAGATGCAAACCAACTCAAAGAACACCTCACCCGAGTCGGGAGGCAGTTTTATAAAATCAACCTTCTGGCAGTCTTAGGAGGTGACAGTAGCAAACTACCCGTTGCTACCCAGTATTTCAGTTTGCATTGTTCTGGTGCCTCTGTTTAAGGTGGTAGAGCTACTGGCCAAGTTTATGTATAGCATTATGAAAGACCTGTGTTCTCACTGAGAAGATAAAATGAGCTTTACACAGACACACACACACACACAAAAAAAAAAAAAAAAAGAAAAAGAAAAAAAGAAAAAAGAAAAGTCGTCCATAAAAAGAGATTTACATCTCTTAGAGCTCCAGCCATAAAATTAATTGCTACTACTGACTTATTTCATGTTTGCATTTTAATTATATATTTGTAGTGCCCTTAGTGAAACAGAGACCACTTCTCTGGGGAAGAGCAGATGTGTTTAAGGAGGAGCTCCTGACTGTGCTCTTGATCCGGTGGAGTGTTTCTCCTCTAATGGTCATCATAAATCGGGTGTAAATCACAGGAGAGTAAACAAGAGGAGCGGTTACACCCCTCCTTCTCTCAGGCGTTCCAACAGCTCTTCAGCTGTATCACTAGGCTTGCCTGTATGATGGGGCCTTACCTACAAAAACAAAACAAAAATAATAATTCTGTAGCTATTAAAAGGTTGAGTAGCTCAAGAACAAGTTTCAAAAGGGGTTGATGACATAATTTGCTTAAATCATATCTTCTCAGAGGCAAACAGGGAGAGAGGACCATAAACTCGTCTTAGTGACTGTTTCATTCTAGCTTCGTACCAATTAAGTCTATTACTGGGTCTTTTCTCTACAAACAATGCCCAAAGCATCAACAGAAATGTACATCTCAAAGTTAAACTTGTGGATTCTCAGCATTAAAAAAAAAGAAAGAAAGAAAAAAGAAAAAAGCTCAGGTTTCAAATGCATAGTTCTGCCTGGAATCCATAGGAAATGTGTGAGTAGCAGACTCAGTAGGAGTGGCAAAGCATCAGGGACCGGCTGGTCATGTTTGCCCCTGTGCTCAACTCCTAAATTCAACTACTCAATGCAGAAATCACAACGTGCTGTTTCCAAGCCCCATCTATTTCTCTCCTCTTCTGTCTTCCTCCTCTTCCTTGTGAGCAGGAGGTACAATCAAAGCACACAGCCAGCAACATGAGAAGTCAAAGGGGAGGTTTATGAAGGATGATGCTGACACCCGGAAACAAGCCGGGTCAGCAGATAAAATGCTTACTTAACAGTGGAGTGCCAAAAATACACACATGGCCATAAAAGTGACATAGTGAGATGGTTGAAAAATTTTTCCATGTTATTTCCATGTTAACTCAACAGTTTTCTTTGCTCCTGTTCTTCCTTTCATCTCTAAAATAAAAATGAAAATAGGATTAGTATTTCCCATGTTGAAGTAAAAATGAACTCTGGTTAAATTAGTCTTTCCGTATAATTTTATTTACTGCTTTGGCAGTAATCAAAATTTTGTCTTTCTCTATCTCTACCAAGACTTACATACCCCATTGTTTCTGAAAATCTTGTCTCAAGGGAGAGATATATCCTAAAAATTCTTTCTCAGCAGGTATGCTAGTTGGATTTAACCATCAACTTGACATAGCTATTTCATCTTAGAGAGATATTGTCCAGATTAGATCAGCCAAAGAGCATGTCTGTGAGGAATTATCTTGATTGCTAATTGATGTAGGAGGGCCTAGCCCACTGTGGGTGATACCATTCCCTGGGCCATTGGTCCTTGGTGTAAAGGAAAGCTAGCTAAGGATGAACCTGAGAAGCCAACAAGTAGCTCTTTCCATCATTTCTGGTTCATGTTCCTGCTTGAGTTCCATCCCCAACTTCCCTCAGTGATAAACTTCGACATGTCTGCTAAAATAAACCTGTTCCTCTCCTAACTTGTTGCTGCTCATGGTGTTTATCCTAGAAACTGAATAAAACTACAGTATCAAGGTGTCTTAAGACTAAAGTTATGTCTTTATATAGTTGGTAACTATTTGAAATAGAGAATTGTTTTTTTGTTGCATATACAAGAATTGGAGATGATGTGTTGGGGGGGGGGAAGAGTGACTAGTGTCAGTCTTTATCAGTAACTTAACTGTACCAGGCTATGTTTGGAAGCTCCTTATGGGTCCCCCCCACCCCCACTCCTACACACACAGTCAAGTACAAATTGTTCCTTTGCCTGGAATGTTCTACGCTTGGAATGTGATAAAAGCTGGCCTCTGCTTGCCTATCAAATCTCAACTTAATGTCATCCCCTTCCCCAGCCACCCAATCTAAAGCAGCCAGCCTCCCCTTTAATTACAATATAGTACGTAGTTGCTTCTGATGGTCATTTACTTGCTATTGCCTTTGTATGTCGATGCCTCTTTGAGAGTAGGGGCCTTCCCTGCCTTCATTTGGTCTTATGTAGTAGATGTTCATAAATATTTTTGAGTGAATAAAACAAGAGGAAAGCAAGAAATGAGAGAAAGAGCTCCCAGTTTTAAAGCTACCTCATTTGTTCCATTTAATTTTTCTGTAAATATTTCCAAGACTTCTATCTTTAAGCACCACCGGTTCCAGAGTTGTTCGCCTTTATAATACATCTCTAATTGCTATCGTTTGTCTCTTCATCTGTTAATGATTGAATAGATGTGAAGAATTCAGCAAAAGTCCCATGTGAGGACCTGTAAATGTCACTCACTTGATCACATATTTAGCTTCCATGCACAAATCCCTGAATTCCATCCATCACCACCATCAAAATGGGCATGAATGCCTATGCCTGTGATCCCAGCACTTAGAAGGTATAGGTAAGAGGATTAGAGATTCAAGGTCCTCTTCAGCTACATCACTAGTCAAGACCAGGATGGGCTTGACCTAAACATGAGACTTTATCTCAGAAAAATAAATAGAGCTAGAAAAATGGCTCATTGAGTAGAATACTTGTGCAAACCTGAATTCAGACCTCCTGAACCCATGTAAAGTGCCAGATACGGTGATACGCTCCTGGAACCTCAGCACTAGAGTGGCAGATGGAGACAGATGGTCCATGAAACTCATTGGCCAGAAAGTCTAGCTAAATAATGAGCCTTGGGTTCAGTTAAAGACCCTGTCTCAAGCAGGAATATGAAGAGCAATTGAGGATAAACGTATGCTATCAACCTACTCCCCTACTCCTCTGACCTCTACATACAGAAACATGCATGTGACACATCCATACTAGCACAACACTCTCTCTCTCTCTCTCTCTCTCTCTCTCTCTCTCAAACACACATACACACAAACACACACGCACACACACAGAGTGGGGGGGCAGAATAAATATAAACACATTTCTCACATACTAGCATCACAGTAGAAAAATTCATCCAGTTACTTAACACCTTTCTTCATTTTTCCAGTGCTCCCATTTGATTGTTGCCTTGCTTTAACACACTGGGGAGAAAATGAGCCATCTGAAAAAAGGAGACAGGCCCAGTCTCTAGCAAACACGTACAGTGCTAGTTGGCCTGGGGACAATCAAACTGTCATCTCAAGGTGTGCATACTTGATGTGTTAGCCCATCAGATTACAGACTCTGATGAAGGGTTGCAGGCTTCTGTGCTACTCCCTTCCTGGCCTGTTTATGTTGGACCAAAGCTCAAACTCCAGTGTGTGGCTTGGGTGGCATAACTTAAAAAGCTGAACATTTTTCCATCCTTTAACCTCTCCTAGTTATGGTTCAAGATCTCATTATATCACCCTTTGACAATAGAACAAAATTGGTTTCCCAGATTCTGTTTACCGTAAGCCTTACCTAATAGATTCAAAAGCAAAACAAAACATGAAGGGCAAGGAGGGTGAAGGGAAACAAAACCATGTAGAGAAAAGTATGTGTTGCAAATAGCCAGAGACTTGTAACCATCAGGAAGCAGTGAAAAGATGCTTAAATGCAAACGAATATACTCTAAATCCAGACCATGTCCTTGTCTCAC